CAAACATGTTTGATCTTATGTACTTAAACAGAAAATCATTTCTGAGCCCTGTCTTATCCTCTAAAAGAGCTGATGAATGTCTTGGATTTAGATACATGTAGCTATATTTGCTACTGAGAAAATTACATACTTGCCCCTTTGCACCAATACTGTATTTTGGGAGTTTGAGTTTATTGATCTAAAAACCCAAATCACCCACTTCATTCCTCCTCCTCTCTCTGCCTAAAAAACTATTCAAGTGGAAGACAGAAGTCGGCTTTCTGGTACAAGGAATGAATTAATTTCCTTAAGGAAAAGCAATGAAATGCCTCCATAAATGAAGTACTGAGATGATTTTTGGGTCAAGTAGGTAAGAGCAATGCACACAGAAGATAGCTGTTGAGTGAAGTGCAGTCACTGCAATGCAACTACACCATTTACACGGGGAGAGGCAGGTAATTAGGGTGAGTGGAGTCAATTTCTGTAGCATTAAACATGTAAATGAAGGGAGAATACAGAGGAATAATATGGTGTGAGCCCTAAACCTGTCATTTCTGTATTCAAGTCTGAAGGTCACAAATCAAGACAAGCAGAGAGCTTGGTAAAGAGGTAATGATCATCATCAGACTGACCTTAAATTCACCAGTGGACTTGTAGAAGCACAGACAAGCTTAGACCTAGAGCCTTTCCTTTAAAAACATAGGTTCCATTCTTGCAGAATTAAGGAAAACTTGCTTAACGTTTGCTCATGTTTTGAAATACTTCTTTCCCCAAACCCATAAACCATGTAAAGCCTTTAAAAATGTTTTTTACACAAGAAAACTGATTTCTCTTGTCTGCATTCAGGAGGTTCCTAGTTCAACCCTTCCAACTACAGAAAGCTTTTAGTATACCATGGCCCTGATACAATAAAGCAACTATTTAAATGCTTTACTGAAAGTGCAGTGTTAGGCATACAACTCTGAGCTCCGCATTCAGGGGCAAGAAGGCCCTGACACTAAATAATGGTGCATTAGAAGAATTCATCTCTACTAAATGCTACCCCGTTCCTTCATCTCGCAAGCACATGCAGAGGGAAACACAGAGGCTGAGGCTGCAGTCCCTAGTTACTGATCCACCTGCCCAACAGTGCAGCCTGGTTTGTGCTTACTAGCACACTCCCTTTCTCACAAATCTGTTTTTCTTTCCCCACCGCTCGCTAAAGGACCTTTATGTTATCCGTGGTTAGTTACTGCTGTCTCCGCCTGAAGCCAAGACATGTCAACCTCCACGGGTTCTTGTGAGCAAGTCACTGTCCCAAACGCAAAGTATCTGCATAAACAAAATCTCTAATTTCATGCAATAAAAACTGCTAAAGAAGAGTAAGGAGAAAGCATCAGCTCTAGATCAATGGAGGCTGGAGCCATCTAAGCCACTGCGCACGGGCTCCAGTCAGCGAAGAGCAGCAGTTTTAACACTGCTTTAGAGACTCTCCAATTCCTTATGCACCCACATCTCCGGCATTACGCTGGAGTTACACTTGAATGTACAATATTTGCATTCCACTTGCTAATTCATGTTGCTTGTTCCCTCTAATCTCAACATCACAGCACAAATCCTTTTCATGCTCCATTTCCTATGCAGTGCAGCTTCCTGGTTTTATAAGCAACATTATTCCTCCCACCGAAGTTAATTTCTATAGTAGGCTATGGACTGGCTTTAACTTGCTCTCACCTTCCTCACTTTTCAAGAGGAGCTACACAAACAAAAGTCAAAGGAAATTTTTTCTCTTACCTTTTTAATCACCTTACAGGCTACCAAAGAGGAGCTAGTAACTTCTGTTCTTCCTTTTCTAAGGCCTGTTTCAAAGCTGGTGAGAACTGTTATAGTCAGAGAGTTGTGCACAAAACTACTTCTGACCAGCAGACAATCAAAGTAGACATAAGGCATCACAGTGAACATACTAAGGAGTCATTTGAGGAAGACGAGAGGCACTCTGCTGAAGGCAGCCTTACACCTTCACGGATAGAATCAATGCAGAGGAGGTAAACGTGAATCCTGAAAGGGGTAGGGGAGCAGAAGAAATGTCTATGAGGAAACCAGAATGAGTCTGTGGAAGGCCGTGCAGGGTGGCACAGATTTTGCAAGGTACTTTTCAATACGTGTAGTGTCCCAAAAAAAACCCCTTTTAACTCCTTTGGCTTTGCTTGCTAGGGGACACTTTTGCCAGTGGCCATGCAGGCCCCTTTTTTTTTTTTTTTTTTTTAAACAACAGTGCCACAGCTAAATGTACCTAACCTGAATCAGCACACCTGTCTATGTCAGCTGCCCCTGATGAACACTGACCAAAACACCCAGTCGTTCATTTTTGATTTTTTTTGTGGTGTTTTTTTGTTTGGTTGGTTGTTTTTTTTCCCTGTGATGTCTGAATGGCTTAAGGTCTGGTTTGGCACCCAGAGAAAGTCATGTGGAGTCAAGGCTTATTCATTAGTTTTATATCTGCTGACTTTAGACTCAAAAATTATTTCAGGATCCATTTCCTAGTTCTGTAGCAGGGAATATAGGATTTCTTACATATACAACCTGCAAAATACTGTAGGAGAAAACACAGTCTGCGCTGTGCAGTGTAATTTAGACCATCTGTAATGACAAATCATTCCAAGTTATATTTTTGCTGGAGCTCTCTGACATTTCTCTGTGCTGGGGTATAAGTTACATAACAGTGATTCTCAGTAGACAGCAACAAGTGTCCCCAGCTTCATCAACACCATGCTCTTTAAATTATGCCTTGTCCGTGTGCATGGACACATGCAATGGAAATTCTGATACATCCACTTTTATTCCCTCAATGTTTGCTTTCCACTTGTAGAGGAAACAGTATGTTTTTTTCTTTTGGCTATGGAACAACAAGTTTTATTTTTCTTTCATTTCTTAGAAAGGTATCCTTCCTAAGTATGTCAGAAGACAGCAGTGAATTTTTGCATGGCTTATAATTAAAAACTCTTCATGAACTTTAATTTTTGTGGCATGCAGGGGCAAGGAAATACCCAATGTTATTGCTCAAGTCCACTTTATACTATATGCTTAATAGTAGCTATATGGGTTAAGAGGAATTAGTGAGCATTAACAGCAGCACATGCTTTAAACGGCTGCTCGTTTCTTCTGTCTTCTCTCCTGTGTACTCAGAAATGACTCCAAGCACAGAACAACAGAAATCGGCTCAGATTTGTGTCTAAATTATTTCAGATTTTTGCTGAGTGGATGTACAGAACAATTGTATTAATCCCACAGGAACAGAGATTGTATCTGTAACTTGTCAACACATGAAATCAGTTTGGAAAGTATCTCCCTGTTGCTGTCCATCTACTGAGGGAGAAGTAAAAGGCCAAGATGCAAGGCTGGGACTCAGCCGCACAAATGTCACTCTAGATGCTCCTCCAGTGCCACTTCAGATCAGCGTAGCTCTTCTGAAAGTCCCGTGCTGCATCCCCTGGCCTGTTCTGGATGTCTCTGGTTTTTAGACTACCGAGGTTCAATTTTTAGGCCTTCAAATTGAGTTTCTGGCTCTGCAACAAGTTCATCTGAGACTTAAAGCAAATCTCTTGATTCCTCTGCAAGACACAGATAATGATTCTTTCTATTCAAACAGTAGGAGGCTCAGAGAAGAACAGTAGTTACTACCTGTACATCTAGATCCTAACACAGCAGGACCTCAATCTTAGCTGAGCCTCATGCACTCGACCATTGAGAATTCTTTCATCTCTTTCTCTCTGAGCTGTCGGCATACTCTGGACAAGAGAACAGCCTGGAGACATTTCAGGGGTGGAGACTGGATACTTTTAAATGTTATTTCTGCTTTAGGCTAAGAAACTTAACCATTCTGGGACAAATTATTTGCTGCTACTGCACCAAGATCATTGCCACGCCACAGTAGGAAGACTGGATTCATTCACAGCTTATACAGACGTTTTACTTGAAATTTCTGACCCTTCCACTTGTTCATCTCCTGTTCTCTAAAGTATCACCATCTGTGTACTAAGTGATATATAGTACACAGTTATATTTTTATTCTCTTCTGGGAATAAAAAATGATGGGCTCAACTGTCCTATCCTCTAGACTAAAATACTTTCCACACAATGGTGAGCTGCCTGTCGCAGAGTTTAACATTTTATACCGCCTCATGGGAAAACATTAACAGAGTACATGTTTCTGCCTCTAAATTAAGGGTTAGATCAAATCTCATGAGTGCCCTTAAAAGATAACTACACTAATTTTCCCTTTTTACCTTTGTGTCACTAATTCATAATTATAAAATATATAATTATATTGCACAGATTTTAACTCTCTCTTGTACAGCACTTAAAATGTTTTGTTCACTTACCAAATGTTTTGCTTCAATACTTATGATCTGGATGTTTTTCATGTGTCCTGGACTACGATAGATTCTCCAAAAACTTCTTTCAAAAGTCCTTATTTCTGAAACCACCTTTGTGTATTTTTTTCTTTTCACACTGCTATCCAGAGTACATCTTCACAAAGTCACCTGCATTAATTTGTTTTGGTGTTTTTTTAATCAACAGCAGCGCTTATAGTTTAAAAATAACAGACTATATTTTACTTGGGAGCACATAGTATGAGCTTCAACCAAACCATTAGAATAGTTTGGACAAACTGCCTTTTCTCTGACAGATATTTTTCCAGATTTCTTGTGTGGGGAGGAGGGTGAGTGTGACACAAGCATGCAGAGTTGGGGCAAGCAGGGCAGTTTCGGGGCTGGAGCCTGCAGGATGTAGAATTTTGTGCTTCACAAATCATTGAGTTGTAGCCAATGCAGGACAGAAGATCTCTGCCACAGCCTGATCTTTTGGAGAGCCCTCCATTTAAAAAATGATCTGGAAAAGTATTGTCTAGTGTAAGGTTAAACTATTCTACTGACAATGGGCAAACCAAAACTCATTTTCCAGGTTTGGCTGACAATACTGTGTAATAAGGGATCTGAATGCCGCTTCTACATGCAAAAGACAGTTCGACGTATGGAGGCTTTCAGTGTTTTAATGGTTGAGCAGATAAAAATTGAGTTATTTTCTACTGCATTTCCCTGTCAAAAAAAAAAAAAAAAAACAAGATGGAAGAGGAATCATCTTCTTCATCTCATGGCCATGGGCAAATTTGAGTTCAGGAAACCAGTCTCTTCCCTCAGAGAGGACGCCGTCGCTGGGGTGGCCCTGCCAGCCTGGCTGTGAGCTGCAGCACTTCCACGGAGGATGAAGCGACTGGCTGTGGTTTAGTGCTGTACAAATGTGATTGGTTTGTTGATCACCAAGAAAGATGACGTGCCATTCACAAGCAGCATGCTGGAAAAAAAAATTTCATGGGAACATTTGTAGTTTACAATTTCACACAAAACCTGTTAAAGCACAAAAGCAGTCTGTTATAGTCCAGAAACACTGTGCACAGCAACTTTTGGTGATTATTTATGAAAACAATACAGTGTGGTTCCAGTGGGAACTGATCAAGTTGCATAAAAGATTTAAGAGTCCATTCTGTAGCTGTAATAATGCTTTTAGCACTTTCTCAGATCCTTCCCTATATTCCAACGTAGTGGCTTGTGCTAGTTTATCTTTGGACCATAAACCATTTTATGCCTTCAGTATTTTGGAAGTGGTATCACGATAAAACAGATTTAAGCCACAAAATAACACACACATTTTCTGTTTGGAAATGTGTTAAATCTGATTTTGAGAAGCTAACTGCATGTGAAGCTATTAGCACAGTATTGGTAATACCCTAGAATATAATTCTAAAACTGATGGCAGGTTCTTGTTAACGAGCAATCCCGTTTTAATATAACTTGTGTTGAAAAAGTCATCACTGAAAAATCATGTTCAAGAAAAAAATACAATTCCTCTCTGGGACTTTAAGCAATTTATTTTGTTTTGGTCTTTGATAATTTAATCAAAAGAGTTCTTGAAGCCTTTCATGAAATGAAAACTAAGGTGTTTGGGGTGGTTGTTTTTTTTTTTTTTTAGTTCTTCTTTAAAAATATAACAGATTTTTAAGCCATACCTAGGCTTTTCTAAATGTTCAGCAAGTAAACATGCTAAAATTATGCTAAAATTAACAACTCCATTTCAACATTTAAAATAATAATGGAGGCAGGGTGATACTGTCCTGAGTTGATGTTAGCAGTTTACATCATAAGCGAGCATGGCCTCAGACAGGGCAATTTCAGTGTATTTTTCCTGTGAAGATAATTCAGGTACCATAGCTGGTGTGAAGCATTAGCATCAATACCCATGTTTTAATAGGTAGATGAGAAATAACTCCCTCTGCAGTGCTTAGGAAAAAGTAATTCCATTTAGGACTACATAAATTTTCAGTTTGTTAATTAGGTTAAGAGAGGAAAAATAACATTAGGAACTTTCACTGGAGTTGTATTAGCTTCAAAATTGCAAAGAAATTGAAAGAGAATTTATGTTATCCAGTAACTTTGGCAGTCAGCTCTACTTCCAAACCAGAGCCCCAGAACACTGAAATCTTTACTTAGACAAATGTTCTTTCTTTTTTCCCATTTTTTAAAATAATTTGCTTTTCATTGTAATTTCTCAAAGAGAAACAGCTTGTGAAGTAGTTATCTAAATATATAACAAGGAATTATTCTGAAATCTATTCTGAAATCTGTCATTTTAGGAAGGATTAGCGGGAGTAGGTGTACTCAGCCCAGGTATACCAGGTCATATATAGGAGAGAGGCCCTAGAGAAATGGCGAGTAGCTAAAGCCTGTTTTGAAAATGTCAGGTCCCCATTCAAAAATGATTCGATGTGCTGAGATCATATCCTGTCATCCTGTTAGCTTTGGCTGGACCCCGGCTGTTAACAGGATCACCAATTGCCAATAACTGATGAGATTCACTGAATCTCACTGAAAGACTTAAGGAGTGTGGAAGAATGGTCAGGAATATTTTTGATAATGCAGACAGGAGCTGAGTATAAATCAGAAATCAGCTTTCTACCAGTAAAGTTTTATCAGGTTCAATAGAGGGAGATTCATCCAATCCAGAAACTCACAGACTGGTGCTTTAGACACACACATAAAAGGAAGGCCTTGAAAAGTGGCCTTTGAGTTCTCAGCTGAGGATCCTGATCGGGAGAGGGAGGGAGTGTACATGGATGTGTGTGCTGCTGAAGACCCCCTCTTAGCCTTTAACTGCTCACAGGTGAAACCACTTTTGTTCATCTATTCCTACCTGGAATATGAAGGACTTGGATCACTTCTGAAAGTAGCCATGAATTTCTAGCTCAGCACTTATGTTGGGGAAAAAAGGACCCTAACCTTTAGTTCTAATCCACTGCAGTAACAAAGCTGGCAAGTGGCTCAGACCTATCCCTTGCTTATGAAGAGTTATGCCTGCTCTTATAAATGCTACTTTCAGACCTGGACAGTTGAGCTTGTCCAATGTATTCACCACATGCCAGTTAAATACAAGCTTGGATGAGGCATCAATGGCCTCGTACACAACTGATCAATCCTAGCAATGGTACCTAGACTTCCTCTCTCAGCATGTTTCTGTAGGCACTCACGCTCTTTCTGAGATGTCTACTTCCAGAAATCCAACTTTAGGGGTTTAAGCATTTGCAGTAGACGAGCAAAGTAATAGTATGTCTCAGGTGTAGGCCAATATATCAGAAATAACATCAGCCTTCATGTAATCCCTGTCCACTCTCCCTTTGCTGACAGTTGAAAGCCAGCAGCTCTTAGATTTGCAGCCTAGTTGTCTCAGAGCTTTTGAATCAAACCCAGACGAACGTGGGTGATCTCAAAGCAGAGCAGGTAGGATTTACTGGGGGCAGGCATGAGAAGTAGTCCTCTTTAGAAGACCCTCCATCAGGCTCTTTGTGGCCAAGGGCCCTTGTGGGCTGGGCTTGATAACCCACAGGGAGCCTCATGGGGAAGGTGGTCCTGGTGCAGTCGTACTTGCCACCTTCCTTAGGGGAGCGGGAGGCAGAAGAGGGGGAGATTTGGGGAAAGGTTTGAGAACCGCTGCTCCAGTGTCAGGATACAACCTCCCTTTTCTGTAGGTCGTCAGAGTGGGTGCTGCACCATAGACTGGGGCTTCACTGGTGCAAAGAGTATCCCGGCATGAATGAACAGCCTCACTTACAACACAAGGCAGTCACAATTGCAGGATGTGCAACACAAGTACAAGGTTTATACCGCAACACACTTCAGGAGTCAGCTCCATGGTGGGAACAATAGCCTCCAGCTATACTTACGTTTTCCTTTCTGGTTTTGGTCCCTGCTTGTCATCTGTGGCACATACTGAAGGGAACAGCATGCACCTCATTATTTAGATTTACCATTCTATTTGAAGCACTTCAGAGCAAAGCAGAAGGGTTTAATAATCCTCCCCCCGCCAACTAAGGGCTGGGGAAATTGGTGGGAAACCACAGCCCCACCGGCTGCTTCCCCCGGCGGCGGGGGCTTGTTTTAGCTGCCGCCTGCCTGATGCTTCTTTGTGTTCTGAGAGGTGTTTGCTGCAGTCACTCGATGATTTTGCATGTAGAGCAGGCATCTGATCAGCCTTTTAACCTGGGGGAGGGAAGCAAAGCAAAATTCTGGTGAGTTAAATTACCTTCTGCTGAATACAATCATCCAGCATAACACAGCTCGGCAATAACATTCATGTTGCCATTAATAGAAAACACTTTGTATTGCACTCCAGAGATTAATTTTTTTTTAATTTTGGTATGGAAGTGATCCATTCAGATTGGAGCTGCCTGAACAAAGCCTGGGGGCTCAGACACCACCAGCAGCCTTTCTCTAAATATCTCCATCTTATTGTGTAATCTCTACATTGACTTGAAAGAAATGTGCCAATTGCTGAAGCTATAGGGCTCTGTGTATATAAAATACACACTTAACTGAGTGGTCCTGTGGGGCAACATGAGTTATTTTCTGATTTACCTCAAGTAAACCATGATAATACTTCAACAGAATTGTCTTGGCTTCAACAAAATGTGTCAAAGTGCTTTTAAATAGAACACTTAATCCATGCCTCACTCCCCTGTGTCGTGAACTAAAGAAGAAAAAACGTGACTATGCACTATGCTGGTAAAGCCTGAAAATTCTGATTAAACACTTAAGGGAGGGGGAGTGAGGCATTTGGCATTTTCTAGCATGCTTAAAGATATCTTAAGTTTTCTAAGCAGAGAAATTAAAGCTTGTCTCCGAAACTTGTGGTCATCTGGAAAAATAAACGGAAATACAAATAATGATAGTAATATCAGAAGACCAGAATCAGCATTTCACCCTACATCTATATATGAACTGCTTCCATCAAGCTGATGGATGCCTGTATACTTCAGAAGTAAAGCTGGCTAAAGTGCTGACAGCAGAATAGTGATACCTGACTGAAAGACAACCGAGTTGTCAGGCAGCCTGGATCCGGCTGGAGGAGGGAGTGGGGCTTGCAGAGGCTGGCGACAGGTGGGTGTGCAATTACATTACCTGAGATGTTACACTATTTTATGTCCTTGGTCTCTAAAATGTTCAAGGGATAGTAATACTCCTCACCAAAGGACACCACCCCTGGAGTAATTTTGTGAATGCTTCTTTATTGTTTAATGGTGGTTTGTATAGCTTAAGGCTTCCTACTCTGTTTAAAATTAGCAACCATGCTTTGTGAGGGCAAAAGTCATCCCGTTTCCTCAACAGAGGTAAATCATTCACAAACCATGAAGGGATGCTGCAGCCAGCCTCTAATTGAATTTTGTAGCATTCTGAATGATAATGCACAAGTCTCCTCTCCAAATCAGGAATGAGGAATTATTACACAGAAGGCTAAACAGGATAAAAATGAAAATTAATGCTCCTGGAAAGCAAATAAAATATTTCTGCAAATCTGTTTACTGGCATTTCTGCTTGTAGACTTGTAAGTTAAAAGTCTGTTATTGAACCCAGACCCATCAGAGATGACCATTCCCTCATTCCATGCTTTTTTACTCCTGGTAAAAGACCATGATGTTTCATAGAGCATTAAAAACACCACTCTTAGTAGTACGATAAAGAGACTGAGCTTATTAACTTCTGTATAAACAAGTAAGGTAGGAGTTGGATTATGGAGGGTAAAACTCATGTTTACAAACATTTATCTAATGTAATTAGACAGTCAGGGTAGGGATGGCATGTAAACCACAAACACGGGAGAAGACAATTGATTTTTTTCTCTGAAATTGTCTGCCTTTTACAGTGACATCTAAAAGTAGATCCTATCAAGTAATAATTTGCTATGTCATTTACAATGTTTAGAAATGAAAGTGGCAATTACCAGCCCTCTTTATATGTTAAAGGTTGCTAGACAAGGCTGACTCAGCATTTTCACAGCAAAGAGCATTCAGGTCTTTCAAATTCAGCTTGCTGTCTTAATCGGACATCAGAGGAGTCCATCGTAAGTAGAAACAACACAGGCAATCTAGTTTATGGACAGCTCTTCTTGTGGCAACATTAGGGGAGATTAAGGCTGGAAGATTTGCTGCTTTCTCATTGCAGAAATTCTTCCTAAGATTGTTAGCAATGTGGATAATTTACTCTTTTTTTGGTTTCAGTGGGAAAAGAAATAAATAAAGAACTTTAATACAGTAATTTTCTGTTGTACATCTCCACTACATACTTACCATTCTGTATGGTACAATGAGTTAATATTAGCTCACTGGCACTACTCATGAGATTCTGTGAGATATCACAAGCTGTTCAGTATTTAACTTAGGTCTGTTTTCAGAATAACTTGTTCTTAAAAATGGATTTTTTTTGTTGAGTAGTTGCTTTCTCTATTAAGATTAGGCAATATATATTTTTTGAAAAAACTTGAATTCATAGTGTTCATGGAAGGAGTAGGACAAGGGAGTTCTGGGTGTCGTGAGGAAGTATTTTCTTTTTGTTTGGTCTCACTGTCACATCAACTGTCCTCTCTGAAGCTGGGCTAACAAGTCAATACTTTGAAAACCTCAGCCAGTAGTCTCTGGTAATAGTAAATTTTACCTGAGTTTAGCAGACTTCGCAAGTGCTTTTTCTCCTGGCTGAAAACAAAAACAAAAGACAAAACCAAAAAGCTGAACACCAGAAAACAAAAGTACAATTAACACTAAATAAACTACAATAAGAAAGCAATTTAATATCTGTAAATTAAGAAAAAATTCACCTCAATAAAGTAAATTATAAAATAGTTGAAGTATGGAAGATCACCCCTTCTAAGATATTGTATATGTCTGAGAAATTTAAAAAAAAAAAGGAAAAAAAAAAAGAAAAAAAAGGTTGGTGAGGCTTTTGCTTCTCCTGTGAAAGATATTTTTGCACACATCTGATGCCTTGGGAGTCTGTCTGTGGGACCACAGGAGCAGCTGATTCCTTCCTGGATGTCAAAGATCATGTCTGTGGCGTGGTTTTTTTAACATTTCCAGTCCTTCAGATGTGTCTACCATTATCATGTCTGAGATCACTTAAATGGGAAGTGCTGTTTTACCATACTCCGTTGTGTATTTTACATATGAGAGTCTGGCATGTTTGCATAAGTGAAGATGATGTCAAAATACAAGATTTTCTTGTGTAACGTAGAATTTTAAGCCAAATGATTAGGTTGACAGCAACTGACTGGTACTGTTGCAATTCCATCTAATAGAAGACTTGTCCTGACTGGGGTTTTGACCTTTCATGGTGTATTTTAACCATCTATGCAGCTTTTTCATTAGCAAACCACACCATCTAAAACCATGTCTCTTCTCAAAGGTTGTCTGTTTTTAGGAATTAATTCAAGACAAGGCAAGGGGCAAGTCTCAGCTGTACCGGTTGCTGGGTAAACTTGACAGAGATACCATAGAATGGTTTGGGTTGGAAGGGACCTTAAAGCCCCCCCAGTGGCACCCCCTGCCCAGGGCAGGGCCCCCTTCCCCCAGCCCAGGGGGCTCCCAGCCCCGTCCAACCTGGCCTTGAACCCTTCCAGGGAGGGGGCAGCCACAGCTGCTCTGGGCACCCTGGGCCAGCGCCTCACCCCCCACACAGGGAAGAATTTTTTCCTTATATCTAATCTAAATCTGCCCCCTGTCAGTTTAAAACCATCACCCCCCATCCTACCCCCACCCCCTGACCCAGAGTCCCCCCCCACCTCTCCTGTCCCCCCTTTAAGCCCTGGGAGGCTGCTCGAAGGGCTCCCCGGAGCCTTCTCTTCTCCAGGCTGAACCCCCCCAACTCTCTCAGCCCGGCCCCCCAGGGGAGCTGCTCCAGCCCCCCCAGCATCTTCGTGGCCTCCTCTGGCCCCACTCCAACAAGTCAATGTCTTTCTTACACTGGATGTATATATGATATATATGTTCCTATATATCTCACTGTTCATAGTAGTAAGCATTTTCTGTAATAAGCATATCTGAAAAACAGGCTGTGAACTAAACGAAATAACCTTAAAAGTGCTGGGACTGGTGAGTGCCTCCTGCTCTAAAAAATGAGACCACTTTCTTTGAAAAGGGTACACGAGGCCACATAAATTCAACCCTGCCAGTCTTAACTGCAGTAGTAGGAAAATCCCCTTCCCTTAATACTGGGGAATGTGGGGGATTCCTTCTAGTCTGGTACAAGGATGAAGAACTGGCTTGAAGGCTGAGGAATCAGCCTGAATATCTGACTATGGCTCTTGACATTCAGGAAATTCAGAGCACGCATTTTTCTCATTATTTGTTATTGTGTAGATCTCTAAACTACAGGCTAAACCAGGATCAAAAAAAGGATTTCTGAATCCCCAAGGGCTTACAAGAAATCCTCTTGTTGGGCTCCTGTTTGATGTAGATTTCTTTTCCCTTCATCTACATATATTGCTGCTGAATTTCAACTTTTCAAGATTAATAAGGCAAAGTTTGTTCAGATCCTAAGAAGGGCAACTGCCTCTTACTCACAACTTGCTGTGTAGAAATATCTGTGTTCTTTAGAATCGATTATGATTGTGGGTAAAACACCTTTCTGAGGTATGGTCCAATGCCCATATGATTTACTGCATCAGCATTTACTTAGGACTTCTTAAAATTGAGACCTGAATCCAAGTTTTCAGTATTCCTACTTCATGACTAGCTGGAGAGAAAACTGAGCATTCAGTATTCCTAGTTTAACATTCTGCAACTTTACACTTTACACACTGTAGAGCAACTTCATTCTTCTGTATACAAATGTAAATATTTAAGGAACAAGAAGATGGGCTCACCCTGTGAGCTCACACTCAGATACTGAGTGAAGATCAGCATTCCAAAGCTCAAAAAACCCCCTTCATATACTGATTTTCTTAGGACTTTGAAATAGCTTATTTCTGACCAGTGGAAAGAGTGAGTCTGCCAGACTGCCTTCTGCATGAAGGGAGCGATCTCAGCCCAGCTGAGGACCAGGACAGCACACCTGTAAATAGCGTGTGAGCATTTCCCAGGTTGGTCACTGACTTCTGTGTCAGGGACTGTTTGTAACGGTGCTCCCCCTTCGGCAGCACAGACAGGAAACTTCTGATTCGGGACATGTTTGTGCCTATTGGATAGAGTTATTTCTGTTTTTCCCCTCCCTCTGCTGCCAGCTAATTCTTAGGCATGATAAAATGAGGATAAGAATGGTCACATAATTAATTTCATCATAAAAATATTTGAGAGCTCACTAGTGAGTTTATCTTCCTTTTTCCTCCCTTAAAAAAGCACTATCAGGAGCTCATTCCATGTAAAGATGTTTGACTCTCTTCATGTAAATAGGGAAAAATCACTTTTGCCAATCAGTAGAGTGTCAGCTTTGCATTAGCAAGTTGGCTTGAACACAAAATGACCCCCTTACATTCATATGTATCCATCCCTCTAGAATTAATCATCCATTCAGCTGATAGTTTATTTAAATATAAACACACAAAAAACGTGCAGTAAGAGTGTTTTCAGAATCCAAATATTTGCTTTCTACTTCTTTAACCACCTACCCACCACAAGGGTGAAAGCTGCCAACTGGCAGCTGAAAGCAACATTTTGTCTTTGATTAGTCATATTTGAATTTCTTTTTTTTTTTTTTTTTTTTTTTTTTTCTCCCTGTAAAATAATGCCACAGGGACAAATGTATAACAACAGAGGGCAAACTAGGTCACTTGAAAACCAACCTGGGGCATGTCTGGATTGTGAATGAGTTCATGACTTTTATTAGGAGCTCCCATTCTCCCATTGAGATTATATTTCCTGTCTTAGACAGATCACGTTCACTGAGCCAACAACTGCCTCTAGGCAACCAGGATACAACACTGTGCCCTGAGCAGCACAACACTTAACCTTGTGGGATATTGTACACAGGGTTTGTGTGTGTGTGTGTGCGCAGGGAGGAGGGGGAGGCCTCAATATTACTTACCAACACTGACACCACAGAGCGCTTTTGCAGTAGTGTGTGCTCTCAGCTGTCTGCTCCAAAGGAAAGGACTGTGTGAAATGTTTTATCTCCCTCGCGGCATGAGAAATGTATTTTATGGCTATTAATGTTAATCACTTGTGTTGGGGCTGGGCCAAGGACTCCCAGTAATAGATCAGGATCACGTTAGGTAGTTTACGGACACCAAAGGAAAAGACTTTATTGAGATAAAAGCCAATTTATTAGCTAAGTATTTATGCTACAGGTCTCTCTGGGTTCCAGGAAGAACAGGGAACTGTCCAGTATGAGAACTGAAAAAAGAAACACACAGAAATCCTGTTTTGGGAGTTGGGGATTGGTGGGTTTGCAAGTAGGCATGAGGGTCATTCCTAATTGGGCCTGCTGAGCCTTGATTTCACATTTGTCTTTATGAAGTCTGGAAAGCTTACTCGGAGAGATTCCCAAAGAAAGGAGCTGGAGGTGACCAAGTTCCCCAGCTTATTTGTCAAGGCGGCAAATTCCCATGGGGCTATGTTATAAAAATGGCCTGGCCAAGGGAGGAGAGCACATACCCTCCAAAGGCATGCTCAAAATTAACAAGAATCCTGAATGTTAGCGTTGTGATCAATTCCCTCCCCTAGCACTCAGATAATTTCTATGACTAAATAAAAGCATTTCTAAGAGCAGGGGCTTTTTCTGAGAGGAGGAACACAAGGTAAAGTGGCCTCAAACGCCTCCTTTAGGTCTGTTTTCTGCATTAGAGCAGTGGCTTGCATTTACTGCAGGGTTAAACAACTAGAATCCTTTATGCTCTGCTGTGGCTGGTGTTTCAGTGTGGGGTTATTTTAAAGCCCAAAGTGATTTAGAACTGTAGCAGATTGACTAATCTATAGCTAATATACTATTTGGAAAACTTCCTTGAATGTCCAGAACCAGAACCTGGAAGGTAACAGTTGCTCAGCATTACTTAGCATAGGACTACCCAAATTTGGGAACCGTTTACTGTCATTTCATCTGACAACAAAGAAAGTAAAGGTGGTCATGAACCCAACTTTGTTTATGACCTTAGAATAAAAACAAGTGAATCCACAGGTATTTCTGCTGGGGTTGCTTTCAGGACTATTTTGAAAGCTTGCAATGCTATTCATATTCTTTGGCAAATAAAAAAGGATTGTTACCTAAAATGGAAGGCTTTACTACTGTGTACCAGAGCTTCCTCTTTGTGGTCACAGGCCAGGACATCTAGGAGGTCACAGTTCAGACACAACTGGCCACAGGCAGATAAACCACAGACTCACAAAAGCTGTAGGTTAGACACCACAGCCTAATTAGCATCCTAATTAACATAATTAGCACAATAAGAAAGGGTCATCAGAGAAATAAGAATTTATCTTTAGGCCTAAATCTGGCAAACAGAAGTCTACTCAAAGCCGAATTTTCTTTTCTTCAGGTTCTTACATGAGCTTGTGTTAGGCTGATATGTGCATACCTGACAATTCTAGAAAATATTTCAAACTCCTAAAACAGCACTACTGCACAAAACCAAATTGGAATAGAATAGAATAGTATAGCCCCACTTGGAAGGGAACTACAATGATCATCTAGTCCAAATTCCTGACCACTTCAGGGCTGGTCAAAAGTAAAAGCATTTTGATGAAAAGTTAAAGCACATAGAAAACAAACCTCTTTTCCTTGCATCACCTGCACAGCTGAGAGCATCCATGATCTGCAGTGCTGGGTCCTGTCCCTTTTCAAAGGGCCACACGGGTGACCTCAGGCTCGTGTGGGCTGCCTGGGTGACCTCCGATAACTTGGCTCCCCCAAGCTGACTCATCTCAGTAGCATCGTGAGAGATACAGCAGCTTCTGTATGAGAAACAGAATTCATTTTAATTGCTCTTTCCAGGCCTCCTCTTTGCCCTCAGTTTTGAAAACTCAATCAATCACATATATTCAGCTTTTAGTTCTCAGTTCATGCACATTGCTAAATACTGGGACAGTTTCTCTGAGGAAAGCTTAAGAAAGCTCTAGAACAACTCAAAGAGTCTTATTCATGGTGGTGTCCCCAAAGGATATCAAATTTAAACTGAAGTCCTGTTTGGAGAGGAAATGAAAACAGAGAGGAAGGGGTTTTGGGAGAATCAGAGGTTTTTTAATTAGTTTGTGGTTGAGGCAGTGGAATTGTGTGCTGTAATACCCCAGTGCCTCTATGCACACTGTTCTCTCCAGGGTCAGCTCTGTGAATTTGCTGAGTGACAAAAGGAAAAGGTAACCTTATTACTTCTTCCTCTACATTCTAGTCTCAAATCAGCACAGCACTGTTAAATTCTACTTTTACCTCTACCTCTCCTTGGCTTTAGAAGAGTTATCCCAACGCAGAAGTAAAGAGAAATGACAGTTAGGTCATGTACATATCTCACTTCTGGACTCTTCAATCAGTATTGCAGCTGCAAGGCCAGGTTGCTTTGTTTTGTTAAGTATTTAATTCAGTGATGACCTCCTCTATCTTTTGTATAACAAAAACCACCTGGATCATAACATCTTTTTTGTATTATGCCCCTGACAGACAGCTGAACATCACTCATGTAGCACTGGCTGCATAGCTGAACAAAGCAGCTGCTGATGCTCTAATTTTCCCCAAATGAAACATGGCATAAATAGTTTTCAGCACTTGCTCTCCAGACACTGCTCTTTCATAGAGAACGGGCTAAGGAAACACACAGTGATGGCAAGCTTTCAATCAGCAGAATGCCAGGCATTTAGAAAACGGACTTGACCTAGTTTTTGATTTGTAGAACCAAGTGACATGCAGTTTATTATGAGCAAAAAAAAATACTTAATAAAAAAAAATATGTAGAGCATATACTCTTGCCTTACAACCTAATATTTCTATCATGCTGTGCATGCTGCTAATTCAGAAGGCTGATATGGTCACAGACAGCCCAGCTTCTAGGATTTACCATTCAAACATACTTGAACTGGCATGAAAAATGCAATAAAATAATTCTTTCAGACAAGTTTAGAGAGAGGTATTCCCAAAAGACAGAATTCTGGCTTCCAGTCACATAAAGCTTACACTTTGTCAATAACACAGTGAAGGAAGGCATGAATGAATTTTATTTCATTGGACAAGTGACTTGGAATACAGATAAGGCAGGGTGAGCATATAAACCTTTAAATAAATGTTTTAGCACTATCTGGAAGGGAGGAATGCAATTGATTCCAATCTTTTCTGACAGAAAATCAGTTCCTCTAAAGCTCCTGGGGCAACAAACATTAACTAAAAGCGTCTGTTACTAATAAAATCTTTAAGTACAACAAAACAAAATGTTGTCATTTGCAACTAATAGGCTACAATTAATGCAAATTATTACTCTGTAGTTTAATTGAAATATTAAACTGTGATATGAAGTCTTTGTTTTACTGTGACTTTAAGAGCCATGTAACTTTGAAGAGGGATCTTTAAAGAGCTCAAGAAAAACCCAGCAGAGAAATAGCTGACAAAGCCCCAGACAAAACACAGTGTAAACATCAGCATTAGGAATACAAAATACTCCGTTGCTCAGATGCTGGGATTTTTCTCTAATGAGCATAGCTATGTTACCTTGAATTGCTACAAACAGTTAATAGAAAACACCAATCTGTGATTACACCCAACAACATTCTTTGTTCTGCTTTGTGGGTGTTACTCTATACAAAGTTGTTTTGTGGAAAATCTTGACCTTTTCTTCCCTCTCTGCCTGTTTAACATGAGACTTGTGTTATTCTCTGCCGTGATACAACAAGCTGGAGCAGTAAAGTCTGCTGTTATAATTCTGGGTTTGCTTTGCAAACACGCACTAAGCTTCAGAATGAAGGGGTGCAGTTAGTTTTTTAGGAGAGCCACGTTTGGAACTTCTACAGGAGAAATCCACTCAAAGTAGCAATTTCTTTTACATTATAAATCTAACTCAAACCAGTATACTGAGTTGCAGTTTTATTTGCAAAACCACAGGTTCTTAAAATTCACAAATCAAACTCAATGTTATTATCTTGGGGGCCTAAGGATAAATGGTATTGCTAGAAAAAATGATGGTACTCAGTCACAACCTGAATTTCAAATAAAATTGTGCTTCGTTCACACTTCTTATCTCATACCAGTTCAAAGGAGTCACTATATTTTTAATATTAAATGTTCTTTTCTTAATGCCTTCCATAAAGGAAGCAAAAATCGTGGAATATAACAAAAAAAGTCTGATGTTTGCACAAAGTACATTCAGTGACTGCTCTAATGCTTTTAGCCTAAAACATGTTATAGTAGTAGTACCACTACAGTAGTAATCTGTTCATTAGTTGGTGGAAAACACTTTTTGGGTTGGATTTGCTTTCAGGATAGTCCTTATTGAAATAAACACTTTCAGATTAAGGTAGGTATTACAGCAAACATGTTTAAAAAATCAAAAAATCACACAACTTCAGGTCCACATGCTTGCTATTGTTATTATCTAACAAAGAGTAATCACGGTCTTTTGCTGTGCTTCCCCAGCCCATAAATCACAGAATTTCAGGATCCTAACTTCTGCCTTTCCACCTTAATTGTTCTCTGTATTTTTATTTTATTCAACCTCTATTCTAGTCTTAATTTTTTATTTAACTGTTCAACCTTTAGACTTCAGTGTGAACGGGCTTTGGCACCATACAACTGAAGAATACAAGTGGTAAGCTCAATATTCAGAAATAGAAAATCGTATTTCTATTTTCATATTTCTACACTGAGAGAGGCAAGAAACTCTATTTCACTATCTTGTTACAAAACCACACTTTCAGCACACAGGGCAGCTATTTCTTAAGGCGCTGTTTTTCAGTTTCGCCAAAGAAAGCACTGAAGCAACTGCATGGGGAAAAAAAAATAATCAAGTATTAAACAATGGCCAACATTTTATTTGCAGCTTATGGATGAGTCTGTATGGTAATCTATTCTGCACTGTTAAACTCAAAATAATTGCTTAAAATCTCCAGGGCTCAAGATTCATCTCAGAAACATCTAAGAAATACATACCAGAACTTTTAACACCAGCAAATGGTACAATACAACTTTTGCCATCTCATCTCTGAATTGATCATTTCTGGCAACAGGCACCACATGAATCTATGTTTTCAATAAATTTCTGGTTTTGAATGACACTAAAAAGTGTAAGTTTACATTCTGCAGTGAGATACCCTGGTACTTAAATCCATGAAAGAAACATTCTTATACTTCGGCAGCCTTTTTAATCATTAATTTTAACATTCTATCAACAGGAACAGAATTTCCTGCCTTGTGATAGAGTCCTTAACCTTTGAGGTTTTGAAAATGTTTCTAGAGAATTTTTTTCATGTTTTCTGCTTTTCTGGAAACCTTTCAAAAGCTCTTCTTGACTTCCAATAGAGAGAGGTACCAAACTTTAGTAACTCTAATTTTCATCCAGCTCTGATGACTACAGATCTCACCAGTGGTGGTGGGATCTTTTGTTTTATAGCAAGGCTGCACAACTAACTAATGATTCTAGAGGCAGTACAGACACTTTAACTCTTAAAAATTTCTTACCTTCTAGTAAACTGCTTAATTAATGAGAACTTACGGAAGCTGATCGACATACCATGGAAAAATTTCTGTGGAGTAATTTGCCAAATATTTCCACCTTTGGCTAAAGGATACTTTTCTTTCATTAAAACTAGTTTTTAAATCAAGTTTTCCTTAATGATGGATAGACCTCATTGTGCTTCTGTAAAGAGCAGGCTGTGACAAATGACTGGATGAAGCAGTAATCTAAAAGATGACTTGAATAAACACTGAATTAAAAAAAAAGATATCAAATACTGCAGATTATAAAACCAGAAAACTGGTCTGTCTTTCTCCATATTTCAGACCATCTAACTCTTTTGAAGAGTTACACAAACCTCTTTTAAAGCACTCCCTGATTAGTAGGAAAACATGCAACTTGGAACTCTCCAAGTAAGAGGAGGTGTATTTGGAAAATTTAAGTTAGCTCCTGTGTATCCTAAGGTTGTGAGTAGTGTCCTTACCTGCTACACCAGGAGAAAACACAGGCCTCACCTCTAAACTGCTGAGAACTAGCACCAGTTAGAAAAGGCTGACCACATCAACTGTAATTTCCTTTGTGGTTTTGCTTCAAAATAATGGTGACTACCAGCATGGGGTGTTTACAGCATGATACAGAGAGCAGAGTCATGACAGCATGTGGTGACATTTCAGAGCACAATGGGACAGTGAACAACTACCTGGTATACTATCAAAGAACTCTCCTGGCTGGGAGAGCCAGAGTAGTGTTGAATATATCCATATTGTCTGGGTAGAGTTCATAATAAACTAACCTTAAAACCAGGTTTATGTTCTCCTCCAGGACTAGCTGGGGCTTGCTCCAGAAAGCAGTATGGAAGTGAACTCACGTGCGTGCAGTATGGAAAACTGCCCTACAGCAAAGCAGGGAGATGAGGAAGATTTTACCTTCTGTTCTTCCACTGGAGTCATCTTCCTTAACTTGCTGCACCATCTCTTTCATTTCATATCCTCGCAGTGTTTCCTCCGATTCCCTGTCCTCCTCCTGTTCTGCTGAGCTCCTTTACCAGCAAGGAAGCTTGTGATAATGATTTTTCCAAATATAGCTAGTTGAAAATAATAAAATAACGCAAATCAATCATTTTTGCGTACACACAGGGAGGAATCTGGTTTTGATCAACTGAAGCTTTTTTCAGAATGTTAAGTTTTGAGACATTTCTGCTGACTTCATAAAATAATTAAAGCTTGTGGTAAGGGATTTTTATTGTTTGGGGTTTTTTTACTAGCTGTATCAAATAGTAAGGAAAAGCACCATTAAGATTTCAACATATCCAGTTGTGCATGCTCTCCTAACTACTAACCCAAACTGTTAAATTTCTTGTCAACAGCAGGCAATGATTTACCTGGATGACCCTGACTTGCTGCACCTGTAAGTCTTTAAACAGCTACACTTTCAGCTGCAACAGCTTCCAGAAGTGAGTAATCAATCTTGAACACGTTGTATCACAAAAATAACTAGGTGATTTTAAAGCTGTGTTTTCCCCATAGTGAAAATACCAGGCTACTGCTGAATCAAGCTAGCTGTCATTCCCATCTGCCTTCACAAAGACAGTTGGATGCACAACTGAAGTCTGCAAGGAAATCACTTTGTGTCCCTTTAAGTTGGGGAACTGTGCTAAATCAGAAGGCCCAGTGGTGCTACCAGGAAGGATTCCCAGAACATAAGCCTGAAAACATACTGAAAACAGGCAGATCAGTGGTGATGATTTTGCTGTGTAATCCACACTGACATCCCTCTAGTGCGTAAAATACCAGGCTAGTACCAGCATCACACAGAGCACTTTGCTCCTGCTGCTCTCACTCCCTGCTGAGCAGACGAGGCTCGGGCTGAACTCCCCCCTCTTTAAGAGGACAGTGGCACTCTGAATTCATTCTTCAGTTTACTCCAACACAGAGTGCAAAGTAAAATCCACGCGTGGTTTCACCATGCATAGAACGACCCTACGTGTCCCCCTGACACAGCCTTGGGCAGATAAATGGTGTCACACAAACTGTGCTGTTCCCAGCACAGTGTAACTCAGTTGTGCCCTGGAGGCACAGTCCTTACCTCCCTCCTAGGCACACGGAGTGGCCGTGGCGGGCGCAGACATCCCTGTGGCTGTGCTGGCCCCCTCCTCCGTGTGCTGCCTCCCACCACGGCGTAAGGCCAAGGCTTCTCCGTTCCTCTCCAAGGCAGGTGGACCCATTCCCTGTTAGTCTGCACATTTAAGAAAGAAGAAGGCATATTAGTATGATAGAAGGATGGAAGAGGAAGGAAGAGAAAGTTTGCTGAGTGATCTTAAGAAAAGTGGTTGCTGTGCTGTCCGCTCTCTTCCTTCTCTGCAGCACTGCGAGGAGGGGGTACTTTTCTCTGATGTGGTTCATCTGGAAGGATGCTGTGGGAGGTTGCCATCCTAGAGAAATGCTACTCCGTGTGCAGCTGGATACGAGCCATGTTTTTTAGCATTTGGAGGGAGTGAGGGAAGCCGATTTCTATTCCTGACTCTGGGACTGACCCACTGTTTGACTCCTCAGCTCGCTTTTCTGTGCTTCCAAACGATAAAAACAAAAGTTTCTACCCATTCTCTCTGTTAACAGTATCAGCTCTTGGTAGGTGGTAGTTATTGCAATCATATTCTCAATTTGAAATGTTGCTAATAGTATGAAAAACAATGTATGAAACACATAGCACTGCATTAGGGGTCAACTACAGCTTTAATTGAAATATTTTGTTGTAATTTGTTTTGTTTGGCTTTTCTTTCACATATAACAAGAAAATGGAACAATTCACCAGAATAAAAGCAGTGATACAGCATAACTTTAAATCCTGATTAGATTTTCTTTTATGAGAGGTGTGTGTGATGAAGGAAACACATAAATCACACTAACTGGTTAACACATTTGAGGCACTTTATACTATATCAGTGAGGCCTCATTTACTTCTAGTCTTAATTCCAGTATCCCCCCCCAGGACCACATAGATGTAAAACCTGACTTTGCAACAAGTAGAAAAAGTTACTGCACCGAAGTCTTACAACCGACTGTGTGATTCCAAATTCCCCATTATCAATACTGGAAGGGAAAAGTAATTATATACATTAAGAATGAAAATTCCCATGCTTCAGAGGCATTTCTTTTGACTTGTATTTGTTTTCTCATGAGCAACTCTTACAACTGATGGAGGAGCTTAAAGCTATATTTAATATCAATTTATGTATAGCAAGGGCAATATGTCAAAGCCATTTCAAAAATAAAATAATATTGACACAATCCTACCAACAGATTGAACCAGGGCTTGGGACATTCCAAGTGAAATCAAAGCATTAATGAAGGCATTGCTGACTAACAGAAATTCATCTAAATGAGGATACAGACAAGAAGTCTGTGATGGTTTCTGCAGCACAGGGTTTCTTAATTTCTTCTGGTCAGCTGAAGTGACTATTTGAATAGGTTACCTAGTTAAACCCCTCACCACATCGATAACATTAACTAACAAATATATCCAGATCTTGTTTTCAAAGCCATGCTGACTGTCCGATACTAGAATATTTTATTCTATAATAGTAATATTGTTACAGTAAAGACTAGGATATTAGCATTCCACTGCTTTAATCTACAGAAGGAACTTGGAAGGATGCTAGCACAGCATCTGACAGGGCTTCCGGGACAGTACTCTGCATCTTCAACACTGCTCTGACCAAGGACAGAATTCTATGTCATTAAAGTTAAAGCCTCGAAACACAGAACCTGCATCTGTTACCACAGGAACAAAGTGCTAGCATGTTGAGGGTGTTTTGTAAGAAGTCATAATTTTTGTTTACTGTATCTGTTAAATTATTTAGGAAACCTCTGCATAATTTAATTCTTTCTACAAGATATTTCCATGCCTTGATGTTACGTGTTCGCAAAAGAACCTGTGTTCAAAGCTAAAATTTAAGCATGAGTAGCTTTAAATATGAGTGTGTGCATTTGGGGATTTTGCCTGTTTGTTTTTTTAAAAGAAAAACTGTCAATATTTTTGAATAGGTATTTTTGTAGAAACCAATACTAAATAGCAGCAGTACTCTGCGCAGATCTTGTTCCTTGTTTTTCAAAAGGGCTTTTTCAAATTTGAATGTTGTTTTTGTAACTACTTACCTTTCAAAATCAGATCTGGTAGGTCTCAAGGCTTCAGAGTCTTCTGTGATAGACAGCAGAGAGCATACAAAATTTCCCTAACTCCATTTCTGCCTTTTTTGGTTTTTTAGATAGCATTAATGTTCAGATATTAGGCACAGGCATCAGTCCTAGAATCAAACTGCTTACCAGTCTTGCCCTGGTTCTGAACTCAGATGAATATAATTTTTCTCCTTCCCTGATTACATCACAGAAAACCACACAATTACTTCGAAATAGAACGTATTCCTTGTTACCTCCAGTTAAAGATGGTAATATGTTCTTCATCATAAATCAGTTGACTGCTTTACCACATAGCCAACAATTAGAGTTGGGTATAACTCACCACTGGTTTATGTAGAATGAAATTAAATTCTCATTAAGCTGCAAGATGAAGGCAACTAGCCAACTTCTGAGTGTTTGGGGTTTTTTTAACTGAACAGATCTAATTTCAGATTTCTTCAAAGTTCAGTCCATAATGTTCTCTCCACGGGAGTAAACTCCCTCGTAAAGATGCTGATCTCCTTTGTAACTCCTGTATGAAGTGACCTCTCCAACCCTATTACCTGCTACTGACCCAGTGATCAGAGCTGAAAACTGAATTCTACTTACTGGAGTAAGGTGCAGCCCTTATTCCTGGTTCCACTTTGGGCACCACTATCACAAACACAAATACTCTTTGAGCCAGTTCTGAAAGCTAATTCCACAGAAACTGAATACAGCAAAAACTGTTTTAACTTCAGCCCTGGTAGTGCCGAAGCACCCGGGAGCAGACTGGGAGGGCAGGGCAGGACAACAGCAGCCTGGATTTAGGTCAGCGGAACCTCTAGCAGGATTATATCCTACAGTCAAAAGGCACAAACTGGTAGGACTTAAAAGAGGATGATGCTTACTGTGTGCAATTCTGGGAATGACTTTACCGTGCCTCCTGTTCTTTTCTGCAGGAAAAGGCCTCTCATATCTCTGTCACTTCTTTCTCTGGGCTTGGGACTTAGTGCCTTATTGAGAAGCAAGTCAGTGCCAACCAGCTAAGTCAGTGAGCCCTAATCATTGAGGTGCAGGGCACCACCCCTGTGTCTTACTGTTAATGGGCAAACAAAAGCCTGCGGTCGTGGGCTAGAGCCTGACCCTCCTTTCTCCATCCTTTAGTCAACATGGTGCCATCTTCCATCTTTTTACCTAATAACCCAGGCTCTCCCTATCCTCCAGCTCTGCCTAGATAATCTCACTGCCAGACGTGCTCGGGAAACACCTCCCCAGTTCAAATAACTTTGACATAGTACCTGAGTGGTAAGAGAATCTTGGAGCTGTTTGGATCAATCAAGACAGGAATATTTTCGGTTGTGGTTGGACTTGAAACTTTCTAGAGAACTTTGTCCAAAGAAGTCAAGTGAAGAAATGTAGCAGAAATGTTAACACACCCAAGTGTAGGCAGCAGCTGGGAGAGTGAGAGGCTGAAGATGACAGTTCTGAACAAGCTATGTGTATAGGTCCCAATTTAAACTCAATTCTGATTTGGATCTGGCCTGAGCACTTTACCCAATATACCTGTGTTTGAGCCAGCAAGTACCAGAAGACATAGGATTCAGCACAAGTTCACATAATTTCAGCTCAGGCAAACTCATGTTTTTCTGATACATCATCAACTGCACACATTAGGAAATAAGACTCACAGAGTATGGTAGATGTAATGAGAATTAACCAAAGATCAATGAAGTTGCAAACACTGACCACAGGCCTTCAAAAGAAAATACTTAAACCATACAACAATTTACAGCTAAACACATGCACTTTTAAAAGCTATACTTTCATTGTCAAATTACTTCAGATCTCCCATTTTCAATAGTTCTGATCTTTCCTCTTTACATATAAAACTTGGACAAATGACAGTAGAATAAAATGGGTTCTCTTTAAAAAGAGTGATTTTAAGTGCTAAATTTGCAATTGCCTTTATTGCCTTTTTTCAGGTTGCCACTAAAACTTTTTTATCCTCCTGAACCTTAGCTTTACCCTCTTCTGTGAGCAGAGCTAATGGAAGGAAAAGCAACAGCCCTTCTCTGGCGATCCATTGCTCCAGTCAGCTACTGAAAATTCGTTAGCGCACAGGTTACACAACATCCCTCTCCCACTCACAGGTACACTCAGCCCTCTCATTTATGAAGTTAATTCAGTGAGGTTAAATGATACAGCATATCTGACTGCATTTTCTCACCTCCAGCTCGAGCCCTGTCAAGCTTCCTAGGTAAGAAAAGGAACGCTCTCCCTGCCTTGTTTTCATACATGCTACAAAAGGGATTGCGTTACCCTCCCCCCAACCCCAATTACTAGGCTGTGGAAAGAACTCCAATTAAGCGGTTAGCCATAATAGCATGGCAGCCCTTTAGGAAACTGCTTATCTAAATAGAGATGTACAGAAGGCAGTTTTCTCTCTAATAGTGATGCATTTTCAATTTATGCAATACAAAGTGCATTGGTCTGCAGTGTCCCTGGCTACTGATGATTAATAGCCCATACGCTGCAAGGGTCTACAAAGAAAAGTGCCAAGGGAAGCAGATGCAGCGGGTTTTATATTATCATGACTGCAACAAACTCATTCAGTGGTGTCAGCTCTGACTGCAGGATTCTGATTATGAAATATGATGCGTGTTGAATTTAATGGCTTTCTCTGCCCTTCTGGTGAGTTCACTGCTTTCCAATGTCATTTTGTGTTCTCATCTGAGTGGTAATAAAAGGAATATCATTGACTGTGCTAGCTCTGTAACCACTGTGTGTTTTACAATAAATTGTGTTTCAGGACCTTTCTACCCAGGAGAGTGTGCAGGGCCAGAAAGTAATACTCCCCAGTTTTCCAATATGAAGGCTTTCTGTGAGAGGATAGGAAATTATGCAGGACTGCCCTTCTCTTGAGGCATTCCTTATGTGAGCAGGACATCTCTTTTTCAAGTGGTTATGTAGTTTAAAGGTCGGTTTGGATTGCAAATAATAAATAAATAAAAAAAGATAAAACATCAAAATAAATAGCTACTGCTACAGAGAAGAAATTACGATACCTTGATGACAAGAGGATAAAAATTATTCAACATAAAATTTGAATAGGGA